TGTCTGCTTGTCAATAAATAAATAAATCATGCATTATTTGGACCACTGGCTTATATAAAAAAATAGAGAAATTGCATTTCCTGTGAAAACGTAGTGTGAATGCTTATTGCTGAAGAACTTGCTAAAAAACCCAGCTGAAATGAGCTAAAACATGTTGAAATGTAGCTGAAATGGAAGAACAAGTCTAAGTTGGCATAAGAAAGCAGAAAGAACACACATTTGGGGAATTAGGTTTAAATGAGCAGAAATGAGAAAAAGGTTAAGAAATTAGCAAAAAAAAAAAAGTTAAAACTAGCAAAAAAAAAAAGGTGAAAGAAACTGAAAAGGCAGAAAAAAGCTTAAACTACCAGAAGGAAGTAGAAGAAGCTGACATGAGCTAAAAATGTGGAATTAGCTGAAAAAGCTAAATTTAGCACAAAAACAGCTATTCAGTTGCTGAAGTAGCAGAAAAAGTTGGAACTTCCAGAAATAAGTCAAAAGAAACATAAGCTGAAATTAGCAGAAATACCAGTAAGTTATTTAGGCTGAAAGTAGCAGAAATTACCACAAAAACCTTGAATTTATCTGAAAATAGCTGAAATTAGCTAAAAGATGCTAAAAAAAAAGTTTGCTGAAAATGTAAAACAAGCTTAAATTTGCAGAAGTAAAGAGAGCACAATTTTGCACAATTAGGCTGAAAGAAGCAGAAATGAGCACAAAAAGTGGCAATTATATGGAAAAAGCTGAAAATGGCAAAAAACTGCCAAAAAGTAGCTTACAAAGTAGAAAGAAGTTTAAATTATCAGAAAAAAGTGAAGCGAGAACATTTTTGCTGAATTAGGTTGAAAAAAGTTTAAACAAGTACAAAAAAATGTGGAATTAGCTGAGAAAACTAAAATTAGCAGAAAAACAGCTAAATAGTAGCGGAAATAGCAGAAAATGCTGAAACTTGCAGAAATAATGTAAAAGGAGTATAATAAGCTGAAATTAGCAGAAATATGTTAGAAGAAGCACAAAAATGTTGTAGTTAGCAGAAAGAATCTGAAAAGAGCACAAAACAGCTGGAAAAACCCCAGCTGAAATTAGCTGAAAGTAGCTGAAAAACGTTTAAAATTTGCAGAAGGAAGCTGAACCAGAACAAAACATGAAAGGAGCAGTAAATGTTGTAAACAGATCTAAATATTTGAAGGATGTAAAATGAGCTCAATTCATTTCCTGTGACCAAGAAAAGTGGCAGCAAAGGCTAAATATTTCAAAAAGCTAAAGTTGCACCAATACCAAAAATTATATCAGGATTGTCCTGAAAGAGTTGAACATTTAGAAATATGATTTGTTGAAATAACACAAAAATTGTAGAATGAGAAAGATGCCAAAAAATGTATGAAAGAAAAATGGATCACAATAGTGTGAATACTTCATAAACATTCACACAATAAAAAAAAAAAAGAAGTTATTTTGGGGTTTTGTTCATGCACTGGAATCTGCACCTCTGTTCACGGTTATTCCTAGCTGTGCATTAATTGATAGCATAATAAATTTTGGTGGGTAAGCAAACATGGCAGCTGGATAGTCTATGTGGTGTAGTTAAAATAAGTCATCAGGCAGGAGCTCATCATAATGAAGAGCATGTCAACCAGAGTAATTGTGTAGTTTTGCACAACAGTGGAGCTCTATGGCTCAGATGAATAAGCCATATTAATCACTGGCTACACAGACAGTACTTAGTGGGATCAATTCTCTGCTGGTTTTAGAGACTCTCGGGGATTAGTTGACAGGGGAAAAAAAGCACCTAACCAGAATAATTTCCCAAAGAGCTGCACTCTGGGAGGAACAAAGAAGACAGCGTAGCGGTGTAAAGGATACAGTAAAGGGGATTTGTGGTAGGATGATAAAATGAAAACATTATGTTCATAAACTAGGAGGCAAACATTGATACATGATAACTGCCAGCTTCCTAATGTTTTCCTTCACCATTTTAAATCAATACCACCCCAGATTAGGAACTGTTATGGACTTTTTCATGGTATCGCTTTTATGGAACACACTGACAGGTTGACAGGCTCCATCATTCAATATCCTGTGAAGGAACGGCACAATACTCATGGTGTTTTTCTGAAGGGAAACACTGGCTGTATAAACTAAACTTGCTGCTGATGTATTGTTGCCCGTTATTGTTGCGAGACTTTTGTGTAAAAACAGGAAAAATACTGAGAAGCAATGCATCTTTTCCACTCAATGCATAAAAAAATAAATAAATAAATAAATAAACCCAGATCTTTGTCCTTAAAGGAAATTGTGTAATGTAGTAAAAAAAATATAGCAAAGTAAAGATATGAAAGAGAAGAACGTTGAGGACAAACTAATTTCTTCATAATCCCCTGGTCTCTGTGCTCCCAGCCTCCTCTCCAACCTCCAGTTACAAAAGAGAAGGAACGCCTTGCTTTTCTTCAACTCGGAAAAACACGGGCCCCTACATCAGGACTCAATTTGGTTTGGTAATGAGACCACGCTTGTGCATTTCCCCATGCAGACAGCCCAATCTTCAACTGCCTGCGCACACGGGCTCTTTCTTTTTTTTTTATTATTAGCAGGAAAGCTCTGAGGAAATAGACTGGTAAAAATGTTGCCTTTTCTCATTTGGGTGAAACTTAGAACACACCTTTTCTAAATGACCTTGAGAAGTTTCTCAGATCTGAGGACAAGGATGCTTTTAGTAGCTCTTAATCATTCTTAGTAGAGGGAGAGATTTGGCTGACCCCTAATCAAGGCGCCACAACCGCCCCTCTAGTTTGAGGATTCTCCCTTTGCATTTTAATGGTGCAACTATTCACAGCGCGGGGCTTTGTGGATTTGTGACTTTCTTGCACACGATGTTACCTCGGGGAGGCCTGTAGTGGCTGCTGCCACAGCATATGTAATATTTTCATCTTCACAGTATGCTAGTTTGCTTCCTCCAGAGAACCCCACTGATGTTTTGTGTTTTTTCAATCAGCTGCAAACAAATATATTGTAGCTGCTAATTTTAGGCTTCCATTCAGGGGAGACTAACACAACACAACGCAGCACCACAGGCTTCAATCAAGAAGTGAAAATGAGCTCATAGTTACTACAAGTGACCAAAAGTACACGGTGCCAAAACATGATTTTCAAACCATGTTTACTATGAAGGCTCTCAAACACCCTGAAAAGACCCCAAACACACAACTCCTTTTGTCATGATCGTCAGAGGTTTGGGTGAGGGTTGTGTCTGTTTGCTTACTTTACGTTTTAGTCCTATTTTTTAATTTATTTTTACTAAATTAAGTTTTGTTTTCTGGTTCTATTAAATATCCGCTTAGTTTTCTTTTTTTTTTTTAGAGAGAGAATTGAGGCCAAACATGCCTTCCAAAGTTTTAAACAAAGATCTCATGTGACCTGCGTCATGGCAGCATGACGGCTCAGTGGTTAGCACTGCCGTCTCACAGCAAGAAAGTCCTGGGTTCAATCCCCGATTGGACCTGGGGTCTTTCTGTGTGGAGTTTTCATGTTCTTCTCGTGCTTGTGTGGATTTTCTCCGGGTACTCCGGTTTCCTCCCATAGTTCAAAAACATGCATGTTAGGCTGCCTTCAGGCCCAGACCTCTCTTGCAAAATAAATCTGTGATCTCAATGGGATTTGCCTGGTTAAATAAAGGTTAATACATCTGTTCGAGCTTGGCATTTGCATTGAGAATGACTCTCAGCTACATATTGTAGCTCAGTGTGTGACTGAGTTCCAGCAACAACAAAAAAAATCTGTGGCAGGTAACAGAAGACAAGCCAAACATAAGGAAGCTCAAAATAAAATAGCAAAGTATAAACAATTAGAAAGAAAAAAACAGCAAACTACAAACACAAAATCCCAGGATCATGACAATGTTTTTGACCAAACCTTTACCATAATCAACATTAACTGTTTAATGATTTTCATCTATTTTTTTTAAAACAAAAGTATATATTTTTTTCATTTGTGAACATAGAACAACATAAAAGTTAAAACAATATAACAATCCCCTCCACCCCTTCCTTCCCACCCCGGATCAGTCAAACACACATATACAAAGTCCTTCCAATTGCACAAAATTAGCCTCCTGGCCAAAACAAAGCCAAAGGCGATCACATCCTTCTCGCATTTGCTGAAGGATGCATCCCCAGGGACCACCCCAAACAGTGCGATGAGTGGTGATGGGTGTACAGTTTTACTACATATTTCAGAGAAAGTGTCAAATATAGATTGCCAAAAAGTCTGCAGTTTGGGACAGGTCCAGAATGGATACAGGAGTATAGCTGGAGTTTGTTTGCAGTGATTGCATGCTGGGTCCAGGTCTGCCTTGATCTTGGACAGTTTGTTTTTGGACCAGTGCAGCCTGTGCACTATCTTGAATTGAATTACAGCATGTCACAGACAGACTGAAGAAGAATCAATGTTCTTAATGATCCTTTTCCAGATTGAGTCTGATGTGGGTTCCTCCATGTCTGCTTCCCATTTTAGTTTAAGGGAGTCCAAGCTGGACTCATAGTATGAACTGAGCAGTGTATATAGTTTTCTAAGTACCCCCTTGGTATCAAACCTGCACTCCAAAATCTTAGCCACAAAATGTTTAGAGGGGTACAAAGGAAAACAATCAGAGTTAGGTTTCACAAAATGTCAGCTGTAAATATCTAAAAAATTGTGACTTGTGAATATTAAGGGATTTTCATCTATTTTGATGGTCGCAACATGACAATGAGTTGAAGAGATGTGGTCGTTAAGATTTTAAGATAAGTGATTAAAAAACTGAGGCTGCCTCCTATGAACTATCCAATATTATTAGTCTACACCAAATATAATAAATTGTAATAATCTCTTGCCTTTTCTTTTGAAACTCAAGCCCCAGTAAGTCCACCACCTCCATAATATCCATCACTCATCCAGAACACATCCAAAGGGATTAAACCCTGTCTGATTTGCACACACTTCTACCAGACAGACTTTCCTATTTGTGCAAAGAGGATTGGACTTACATAGTCATCGTAAGATTCGTGTGTGACTGCTAGCAGTGGGGGCCTGTATCCGGCATTCGCTGCTGCCCCCCTGGCCCTGGGAGCTTTTGTGTCCCTTGTCAGAGCGGTTGTGGGGAGTTTGCTGTGTGTTGCTGTTGCTGTCCCCCGAGGCGCTGCAGCACTCCTTCCACCACCTCTGTGCCCTCTGGTACAAAAAAAGAGAACAAGCATGACATCAGTTGTAAATCTTGCCCTATGGCATTTTTTTCTCATAAGTTGCTGTTATTTTAGTGGAAAAGTGGAAATAGGACTTTAAATAAATTTTTTAAACTCTTCGTTTTTGTGTATTTGCAGTCTGCTTCAGTTAATGGTTGTCAAGGCAGTAATGTTTTTGCCCACGTCTGTGGCGTAAAAAACAACCACCAATAAACATATTTTAAATAAACTCAAAGAATAACCACTGGATGTAGATATACAACTGGTTTCCTTTTTAAGTCAAGCAAATTCAAGATGGTTGACACGGCTCTGCAACACAAAAATGGCTATAGCTGAGCCAATTTTACATTTATTAAGCATGATGTTCTCATATCCAAGAGTCATTCTCAGTACATACCGTGAAGACTGATTGCATAAGATCAGATTTTAAAATTTTACCTTTAACTCTTAGTCAAGAACCTGGTTTTTGGATTCAAAATTCAGCCAGACAACAAGAGCATTTAAAAACAATTTTATTGTTTTGCAGCTGCTGGTGGGAGTCTGGATCCATTTGTGGGAACAAGTCTTCTCAGGCAGGTGAGGTGGGAACCACCTGTCCAAGCTTGAAGAGAAGACGTCACCGCAACCGGTGGGAGAGCCACTGCAGGGCAATCTCAGGTCGAGGTCCGAAAGGCAAAACAGGGGTCAAGCACGGGGAGTCAGAGGTCCAAAAACAAATCCAAATGTCAATCAGTAATCCAATATCAGAAGGGGTAGTTGCTACCAGGGTCAGAAGTGCAGAACAAACCAGATGAGGAGCAGACACAGCGGTAAATCCAAAAGACGAGGCGTGAGATCGAATCCAAAAAGCAAGGCATGAGGTTGAGATGAGAACATCAGGCATGAACACGAACAAGTGGATGGATATCTAATACCATGAAGGGTACGATAATCTGGCAGAGACTTGGCGTGGATGGGACACTTGCATAGAGCGTGCGGCAGGTGTAAGGCATGAGTGTTGATTAGCGGCGGGGAAGTGGGCGTGGCAGGTGGCAGAGAATGGTGATCATGACACTATTACTGTGAACTCTGTTTGTTAGCAAAATATCTCATGAACCACTACATGGATTTTAGTACATTTCCCAGAAAGTAATGATTGAATGTACATTTACATTTACATCAGCTAATTGATCTTAGCTAAGCCAAAAATAATTATAAAGTAGCATATTTTACAGATACTGAGCTTCAACCTGGTATGGTAGCAGTTAAGAGTCAGCCCCAACACGTATCTCATGTCCTAACACGTCTTATGAGAGCTTGCACATAGTTAGTTACCAGATTTGACCAAAACATCTAAATCTCCATCACTTCTCTTGCATGAAATGTGGGGGGATGCCTTTAATTTAAAAATTGCTTTTAGGTGAAATGAAATAAATCCACAGAGGAAAAATTTGATGTGGGGACTAACAAGGGTTTCTTTCTGCTCTGTAAAGCAGCTCGTCTGATGCACCAAGGTTGTCTGTATATAACTTAGCAGTTCAATATCTGTTTGCCTAAGAATACACGCTCCAGGCTACAGACACCAGGTATAGAAAGTAATCCCGCATGCAGCAGCAAAGAGGCCGCAGGGCATGTGAGGTATTGTTTCCTTTATGAAAGTGTGACTGTCCAGCAGCTGACCACAGGGCCGCTGCAGCAAGGGATGGAGCACTGTTACGATTATAGGACACCCTTTTTCCTGTCTGCCACATCCTTCTGCAGGTAGCAACCCATTGTCGACCAAAAATACAAACACTCGCAGGAGAATTTCTGGTGCATATTTTTCATGGAGCTTTATAAAAATTGCTTTTCGTTACAGCACGGGGAGAAAAATCGAAGTAAGGAAGTGGTGGTGATGTAAAATTGAGAGCGACCCGTGCTACTGCTGGATTTAGCTCATCTACAACACGCTGCTTGAATTAGGCCGGGCTGTCAAGGCACAATGTCCCTGCGTTCTCCTGAGGGACTGCCACGGCTCAGGTAGATTACGGACAATTCGCTTTAAAGGCGTTTCACACACGCGGCTGAATATGTGGCTAAGTCAGTCAAATGTTCATTTTCTGGTCCTGCCTGGATTCCCAAATCTCATTAGAGTCTTACAAAGAGAAAAAAAAAAGACTTGCAAGGAAAGAATAAAAAACTTTTTTTAAAAACTACTTTTTAATATAAATCCCTAAAATGAAACTGAAAAATGTGATATTGTAACATGAATGTGGGAATTTGTATTATTTTCTTATTATAAATTTAATATATAAAAAAATTATTATTTGAGGATTTGACTGACATTTTGTTTCTCAAAAATCTTTAATATGAAAAAACAAAAAAAGTTTGAGTTGCCTAAACTTAATTCACTGGAAGTTGCTCTGTACCTTGTGGATATTGTGGTTGCTGCTCGGGGGCTCCTCCCCTGCGCACTCCTCCCTCGGCTCGACTCATCGGAGCCGTTCAACAAGGACAACTCTCTCAGCTGCTCTTGTCTGATCTCATCATTGTAGTCCTATGGAGATAAAATATATGCATTATGTACTGGAAAAAAATTAAATAAAAATCGCCCTCTTTCTGCAACAGATGGTGTCAACAGAAACATTCAAATACAAAAATCTTGGCAGACAGGAAACAACATTGTTGAGTCCTGAAGACTTTATTAGTAAAAGCCCACCTGTTTTTTGTTTTTGTTTGTTTGTTTGTGTGTGCGTTACTAAAATATCCCATAAAACACTGGCCAATTTTTAAAATTAAACTTTTCGAAGGTAATCATTAAATATCCATCTACAACTAATTAACCTTTGGAGTAAATCCACAGGCTATAATTCAGTCTGTTTTACATATAATGAGCTAAAATTTAATATGGTAGAGGCTCCGAGTGATTTTCAACACATCTTCTCACCGTGGGGGAGTGGTGGTGCAGAGGTTAGAAGGCGAGCCTGTTATCGGAAGGTTGCCGGTTCAACTCCCCCGACCGACACCATCAAAATGCGAGTGGGAAAGGTGAAACCTCCACTCTCATTTGCTCCACTCTGGGCCCTTGAGCAAGACCCTCAACCCCCACCATCTGCTCCCCCAGGTGCTCTAGATAGCAGCTCTCTGCTCCACACAGAGGGCTCTGGTAGCTCGGTGGTCTGTGGTTCCATCAAGAAGGGCATCTGGTGTAAAAACAATTGCCAAGTCTTTGTGCAAGTAAGTTTGCTGTGGTGACCCCTGAGGCAGGGAGCAGACGAAAAAAGAAAAAAAATACAATAAAAGATTCTGAACATGATGTCTTCCAACATTGCACAACAATATTTTTGCCAGTTTTTTGAGTTGGACTCAGGAATGCAGATACAAGGAGCTAGAGTATAAAAAAAACCCTGGAACTTTATTAAAAGGCTGATATGGCAGCAACAAGAAAATAAAGAGGTTACACAGACAAGGCATGAAGAACACACAATGCCAGACTGAAGGAAAAGTGAAAAGCTGAGGGACTGTATGAGCAGGGGCTGATGAGAAGAGTGGAGACACAAATGACAACTGGTAACAGGTGAAAGTGGGCGGGGCAGGAGCTGAGGAGCAGAAACTGTCTGAGGAGATGGCACAGGAGACACTGGGAAAACACTGAAACACATAAAGTACAATAAAAGGAGATAAAATCTAAAATAACAAACGGCAGCAGAAATCGTTTTAATCAAAAGGCAGATCCTGACCATTTTCAAGGTTTGACCAAAGTTGTTCCTTTTATCATGAAAGGTGATGGGTGATATGCATTCCTTTGAAGAATACTAGACCTTTAATTAGGTTATGACGTACAAGTTTAGAAGGAATCATTTTTACTGTGGACAAGTAAAGCATGTTCTAAAAACAAGTTTGCCAAACCACTTAAAAATTCAAGAACATAAATCACATTGGAGAGAAGATAATTTATTAATAATTTTACAATCTGCATGCTGAGATTAATAATAATAATTTAAAAAAGTGTTCTTCATTTTGGAACATCAACAACAACAACAAAACACTAAGTAATAACTAAAATGCCAAATGATAAATCGAATCAATTAAATAAACACTAGATTCTGATAAATAGCTTGTTACGTTTATCAACTTTGGAGAATTTTGTTATCTTGTGTTCCTGAACTGTTGGTGTTAACCCGCTATCAAATATGATGCGGATCATTCCAGAGCAGATAAGAAAGTGGACAAAGAGGATCCATTATCTCGTCACATCTGGCAGGTAAACAGATTTATTCCCCAGAAACATTTAAACATGACCCAGAACATTTGCGGAGGCAGAATCTCTCTCTCTCTCTCTCTCTCTCTCTCTCTCTCTCTCCCATCCCCCCGCTGGTGGTGGCAGGGGGATGGGGAGATATGAAAGCGTGAAAACTTTTGATGTGCTGCTAATTTAATACAGGTCACAGCTAGATATTTTATTCACTCTTGCAATTAGTTTAAGTTCTTATTATATCAGAACCATTTGTCTTCTCTCTAAGGCAGGTGTATAAATTACATTGAGCTTCACTAAACTCTACCAATTACATGTGACTTGTTTCAAATGTAAAAATTACACTGAAATCAGATTAAACAAAAGACGTAGCAAAAAGTGCTTAGATTTTTCTTTTTAAAGGGAAAAATCATTGGAAAGCAATCCCTGGATCTACAACTGATCAACTTTTAGAGTCAACCCACAGTTAGTTGACATTAGTCACAACAAAAAATGGCTAAACTCATTCAATTGAACAACTATTGAGCTAATATTTGGTGTGGTGGTAACTGAGAGTCATCCTCAACACTTACTATGAGTGCTAACAGATCATGCAATTTCTCAGGAGATTGTGCATTTAGAGCAGGGGTGGGCAACATTTTTTTTTCAGTGGGTCAAATCAAAATATTGAAAGCAATCAAATGTCCTCATAGCGAATTAGAAAATATTTTTTCTTTAAAAAATACATCCTAGGAGACTTTTTGCCAGGCTTTTTCTCCTTGTAGCGTAATTAGCATGCTTGATAAAAAATGTCTCCCCAATAATCTTTAGGATGTAAGACTGCAAACTTTATCTCATGGAAATATTTTGTTAGCTTATTATGCAAAATATAAAAATTAAATTACAACATAAAAAATAAGCCAGCTAAAATGATGTTTTTTAACCCAAATATTTTTAATGTACTTGTCCAAAGATGCTTAATTTAGATTTCCTTGAATAAATGCAGATTTTCACCAATTTATCTAAAAGTTGTTTTCAATTACGGATACTGGGGGCCGGATAGAGATTGTTCAGGGGCCACTTTTGGCCCTCGGACCATATGTTGCCCACGTCTGATTTAGAAGGTTTGACTAAAATGGCTAATTCTGTCCCTTTTCATCATGAGATGACTTTAGTTGAAAACTTTAAAAGCCATTAAAGATGAAGGACAATATGCCTTCAAGGAATGCTACACCTTTAATTGTATGTTTTGTGTTTGCTATGCACGAACTGATGAACAGCTTCCAGGGTTTCACAACTTTGTGTCATGAAAGAAAGAAAACAGAAGAAGTAAAGCTCCAGAACATTAGTTAAGCTACACATGTGCTCGTCTTATTAATGCACCACCCGGGCTGTGCAGGGCGCCGTGTTGCTCTGAAGGGGACTGGCAGAGCTCTTAATTGGGAAGCTGGCAGCTCATTCAAAGGACAACAAACCAGCCAGGACTTGTCAAAGTTGACTGTTGACAGAGGTGTTCGTATGAGTATACAGAGATAAAGCCCTCCTGAAGCTTCTCAGGGCAGACTGTTTGTTCGCTGAGATTAATTCTCACTATGCATGACCTTGTTCGCTCCC